ATTTTAATTGTATATTGTTGTTAAGGCATTAAATTGTTGTTTATCTGTAAGTTGCCTTGAGTCCCCCTCGAGGTCGAGAAAAGTGAGATATAAATATAGTAAATAAATAATAGTAAATAAATTTATAAAGAAGAGTTCACAAGGCAGTCAAATCCAGAGTTCTCTGGAATACCGATTCCTTTCCTTCTGATCAGGGTTTGCAAGAGTCCTAGGAAATATGCTTCTACTAACTGCTATGAAGTGCAACCCTGTTTCCTGGCCGACACCATGAAAAACCTAACTAAGGCTCCTACACTGCCATATAATCCAGATTATAAAAGCAGATAATCCAATTTATCTGCTTTGAAGTGGAACAGTATCTACACTGCCATATAATCGAGTTCAAAGCAGATAATGTGGATTTTACGTATATGGCAGTGTAGAAAGGGCCTATGATCCAAAGCTTTCCTGAGGGGACTATCTGTATTGTTTGTTGTTCATCTCTATTCTTCTTTCTCCCGTCAATAGGAAGGGATGATGAAGTAATCATCTGTGCCCCCAAATACTTCAGATTCCTACCAGAGCCTCATGCCATATGTTAAAAGCTATCATTTGTTCCTACATGGCTCAGAAGGAAAGGATAATGGTCACTGGGCTTGATGAACCCTGTCAGCATCTCTATTATGTCACAAATCTTTTCTTCTGGAGAGACCACACCACTGGGGGCATCTTATCAGGTTTGCACACCACTGGCCCTGTTTGTCTCAGCATAGAATCATCCACCATGACCACACAACTTTTCTTCCTTTGGGAACCGGCAGGGGTTGTTCCTTCCCAAGAACCTTCTACATCAAGCATCCTCAAACTGCGGCTCTCCAGCAATTTGGGCCTCCAACTCCCAGAAGCCCTAATGAGCTTGTTCAGGCATTCTGGGAGTTGAAGGCCTGAACAGCTGGAGGGCTGCAATTTGAGGATGCATGTTCTACATCTTATTAAGGACTGAGGCTGCTCCTCCTCTGCATATTTCTCATAATCACTGATTAAACAAAGTACTTTATATCAATTATGTAACTGTCTCACAGTTTTTAATAGTGCTGCATCTGTGCTGCAGTAACTATAGAGAACTAGTGGCTCATATCACCACCCACAATCAAGCCCAAGACCCTAAGATCATGAGATTAGGGAGAGTACACTAGCTAAAACATACAAACCACACAAGCAAGCATAGAAACGATTCAGCCAAAAGTCAACCTTGACTTCAGAAACAGATTCTCATGTTCTTCTGTCATTCCATGCCTACCTATTGAGCCTGCTAATTTAATTTAATTAGCAGGCTCAATAAGTAGGCATGGAGTGACAGAAGAATATGAGAACATGAGTCTGCTAATTTAAAGGTTAACTGGGCACAAAACAAGAGAGACTACCTCTGGGACTCTCCAGTGAGCTCAACAGAAGAAAAGAAAACAAATTAAAACTGAAATCCAAACATCCATGCTGTCATATGTTTGTGCAACAATGAAACATAACTTATAGAATGGTGTTACATGCACCATGTCCAGTTACCTAACTGAACATCCCTCAACACCCCAGCACTCATAATATTTAAATTTTCTTCAATGGACCCTGGGATTCTTCATCCAACCATGTTGTATTGAGGATACAAATGTGAGTAGGCAAGTGCTTCAACTTCAGCAGCACAGAAAGAAAATTAGTGATCAAGAACATACGTTTAACTCTTCAGAACAGCCCAACTCAGGGCCCAGCTGTACAGAATGGACATGATGCACAGGGTCCATTCATCCTAATGTGGGATTGCGGCATTCAACACTTTAAAATGTCAATGTGTTGTTGAAGGCTTCCATGGCCGGAATCACTGGATTGCCGTGAGTTTTCCGGGCTGTATAGCCATGTTTCCGAAACATTCTCGCCTAACATTTTGCCTACATCTATGGCAGGCATTCTCAGAGGTTGAGAGGTCTATTGGAAACTAAGCAAGTGACGTTTCTATATCTTATATAATCCCTGGACATTCCACAGATATATAAACCTCACTTGCCTAGTTTCCAACAGACCTCTCAACCTCTGAGGATGCCTGCCATAGATGTGGGAAAAACGTCAGGAGAGAATGCTTCTGAAACATGACCATACAGTCCAAGAGTACATACCAGGCAAGGTACCCCCGATATGCTGCTGAGAGCACCAGAGAGCAGTAGGATGAACCCCTTTTGGTAACCACTGGATACACGACACCTTGTCCGAAAAGTCAATTTTGAAGGTCCAACGTTTTTTGGCTCAATGCATTTTTATAGGGCTCTTGTGTACACTTTGAGACATGCTGAACATCACGCCACCTTTGGCTATCACTCAAGGGCTTATATCTTGCACCTGGCTTGTTTAAGCTTCTCCCTACACCAAGGTCATCCTTCAAGGTCCTAATTACAAGTATTCTCCCTACAATACACCAGGTGCATTATCTTAAGTATTTGGCAAATGGACAAGAGCACACGATTTTTACCAAACAATATCATGCTCAAACCAATCATGGAGAAATCTCCAAGCAGTCCAGAGAGAAGGCGAAAGAGAGAGATAGCAAGGAGGTACAACTAGTCATCAGGCCACTATTGCCTCGAGATGATAATGGTTTTCTGCCAGTTGCCTATACAGCCCCACTAGAGTCCACACAGCCAGCCACAAAGCCTACTCAGTGGCTCGTGAGTGAAACACCAAGCCACTTTGGCAGATGGATGAAGTCTGCACAGACCAGCGGCACTAAATCCAGTTTGATGGCACTGGATCCCCACCTTTACTTTCCCTCGCTCATCCTCAACTTAGTGGCAACCACCAGGCACAAAAATTAGTACTGATTGTCACTTGTCATATCCAATTAGGCTGGCCCAAGCGATGGAGCAATATAAAAAAGGGGAATGGGGAAAAGAAAAATTGCTCCCTGCTTTCCACCTTCTCATCTCTGATTGCTTCATCGCACTGGTTAGTGTCAGAGGATGCGAGGAATGACAACTACCAATGGCTCCACTCAAAGTGGTCGCCACTAAGCCAAGGACGAGAGAAGGAATTTAAGTGTCATCCCCTATTCCTGTGCTGCCTAAACCTGGGTAAAGCAGGATGGGTGTGTGAACAGGCACGGTTTCTTCCAAATAGGAAACAGCTCAAATGCTGACACAGTCACAAAATGCAAGCAACATTTTAAAGTGGGTTGCTTGAGTGATAGTCAAGAGTGGTGTGATGTCCGACATGTCTCAAAGTGTACACAAGAGCCCTATAAAAATGCATTGAGCCAAAACACTTTGGACCTCCAAAATGGGCCTTTTGGACAAGGTGTCGTGTATCCAGTGGTTACGAAGAAGGGGTTAATCCCACTGCTCTCTGGTGCTCTCAGCAGCATATTGGGGGTACCTTGCCTGGTATGTACTCCAAATAGGAAACAGCCCAAATGTTGACACAGTCACAAAACGCTTTGCTGATTAATAAACCTAAACAAATTTTTCATCCACTATTTCTGTATGTTGTTGCTTTCAAAGCTAAAAAACAGAACCTCCCCTGCATTTGGCAAGTCAGTTGCTGATCTGGATCAGTATTGCTGTATGTGACCCCCTGTAGATGAGGTCTCAGAAACTTGAATCTTAAGAAATGCCAATTTCATCAGTACAGTAACATGACTGTTGAAGCATCACAATTATAATTTTGGCTGCCCACAACACTATTCCTTGGCACTATGAAGATAACTTTTATTACTGTTTTGGCAATACATGGGAATAACACTTGTTCCTATGTACCACTAACACAAGGGAAACTAAACAGCAAAACCTATTTTTCTAATACACACCAAATGCTCCAAACATGGAGAAAATCTTAATTTTTAACAGTATAGGTAATACAAGATCTACATTTAAAATGTTTTCCCACGTGATGTGCCAGCTCCCTACAACAAGGAAGAACATTTTTCAACACACTCCTTTACAAACAGCAGGCAGACAATACTCTCATGAATTCTGCAGGTTTGGATGGGGTTGAGTAGCAGCAAGCAGTTTCTCATTTAATATTGGCCCTAAACTGCTTGAGTGAAAAAATGATTCACAGATCTTGTTATCTTAACGAATTAATTATGTAGACAGAAAGAATATCCACCAGACAGAGAGCAGACGCTAGCACTGTTCTGAAAATGTTTGTGCAAGTTTGTACAAATCACAAAATGCATGAGTAGAGGTCAATCTGTTCTCCTGTCTCCACTTGCACAATGTGGAGGTTACATATGTGCCTGCAGACGTTGTGGAAGAGGATCAACATTTTGCTTCCACATTTTTCACACAGTGTAGCAATACAAAGTGCTGAAATGGATCTTAGGAGATATATTCAGAACCAATCAAGGGTGTGTTGAAAAACTGTTTGGAGCACCAAAGAATCCATCTTAAGATAAAGGCAGCTAGTGAAGTTGGAAGTCCCAAGGTTACAAACATCTGACTTACAAACTCGTTGATATGAACTGGAAGGAAGCAGTCAGCTGGGGAATGGTCAATCTAGTTGTTCCTCCCCAGCCAAGGTGAAGGAAGCTGAAGGAATTGTGGATGTACTTCGCCCCAGTGTTAGCTGCGGAGGAAGATCGGGAGTTTGCCAAGAGGCTAACTTGCATATCTCCCTAGCAAACTCTGGGCTGAGTGGTGAAGGGGCATGTTGCCAGCCCTCCTTGCTCCTCAACAGAGCCTTGGCTGATGAGGAAGGGAGGGAGCTAACAAGATCTCCCGCATTCCTCCTCAGCCAACACTGGGTGAGGGGCAAGGTAACCTGTCATTGGCTGAGGAGGAACAAAAGGGAGCCTGTCAGCAAGCTCCTTCATTTCTCTTCAGCCAACTGGCTCAAGTTTTGTTTTTAAAATGTACCTGTTCCAACTTACAAACAAATTCAACTTAAGAACAAACCTACATAACCTATCTTGTTCATAATTGGGGACTTCAGATTTTCTGTCCCACCAATCAAACATTTTAGAAATAGAAGAAATTACTTACACATCCATCCTTTACAATTCCTGGAGTGTCATAAAACCATCTAGCATCTTTCACTTCATTGTATGTGAGTTCAACTTTTGTGGGAACAGTTTTGGCTGGAAGAGAAGTTTCTTCCTCCATACTAAAAGAGAGAGCTTCAGCATCAAAGTCAATTTCATAATTTTTTCTTTGTTTCTCTGGTTCAGCAAATGTTCTCCCAACTCTTCCTATATCAAGAGGAAAAAACATACATTACTCAATTTTTCAATATTATTTTTAATATTTCCATATAAGTCATTTCACAGTTTTCTAGCACAGCAATGCTTCAAATACAACACTTCAACTTCATTTATTTATTTATTTATTTGCGACATTTATATGCCGCCCTTCTCACCCTGAAGGGGACTCAGAGCGGCTTACAAGATATATATAAATACATACAATACATTATACCATGAGCCCAGTACAATAACAGTGCTATACATCACTATATTGTACTATACAATTATTTTGTAATATTATTAGTAATATTACATATAATATAAAATATATAATTATATTATCATATTATTATTATACTGTACTACATTATAATAATATAAATATTATATGTATATACAATATATTATATTATATTAAAAATTAGCATAGCTCAGGAGAGAAGGTGGAACTGTCCCCTGGCCTCTCCTGTCTTCACTCTGGCTCAACTTTTGGAGTAATTTAATTCTGAGTTTTGACTCCAGCGAAAACACACCTCACACCCTATTATCTGATGGCTGAAATCAAAACAACATGTGCAAATCTCTTTACTGCTTCATTTAGCATGTTCATTCTATCTCACATTCAATTAATCTGACAAATTACAACATCAAAGAATGAACAAATGACAAACTATGACCCCAAAAGAATTTCAGACATGCTTATACTTACACACCATGTCAAAATAATTTTTAAATTGTGTGGTGTTTTTACAACAATTTATATTGTACTAGCTGTACCCGGCCACACATTGCTGTGGCCCATTGTGGAGAAATAGGAAAGGAAGAAAAGAGGAAGAACTGGTTTCTATACTATCAATACACAACTGAAGTGGCAAAGTGTCAACATAATATAGGCCCATTTCAGTCTCCTAGAGGCCAAAGGGTTATATAGATGTGTGGAAGGGCCCTGGATTACCTGAGTTCACACTGCCATATAACCCAGTTCAAAGATATTATATAGGTATTATTATTATTATAGATGTATAGATATTATTATAGGCATGTAGATATTATTATTATAGACAGATATTAATATTAACGCCATATAAGTATTATTATCATTATAGATGTATAGAAATTATAGACATACAGGTATTATTATTACAGACGTATGGATAATATTATTACAGACCTATAGATATTATAGGCATCTAGTTGTTGTTGTTGTTGTCATTGTTATTATTATTATTGATATGATATAGCTGTTATTATTACAGAGGTGGAGCCCCCGGTGGCCCAATGGGTTAAACCAGTGGTTCTCAACCTGTGGGTCCCCAGGTGTTTTGGCCTACAACTCCCAGAAATCCCAGCCAGTTTACCAGCTGTTAGGATTTCTGGGAGTTGAAGGCCAAAACATCTGGGGACCCACAGGTTGAGAACCACTGGGTTAAACCCTTGTGCCGGCAGGACTGAAGACCGACAGGTCACAGGTTCAAATTCTGGGAAGAGTGCAGATGAGCTCCCCCTGTCAGTTCCAGCTCCCCAAGTGGGGAAATGAGAGAAGCCTCCCACAAGGACGGGAAAACATCAAAACATCCAGCCAATGTCCCCTGGGCTGTTGCTATCTACAAGGACGTTTCCTTGTAGACAAACAATTCTCTCACACCAGAAGCGACTTGCAATTTCTCAAGTCACTCCTGACAGGAAAAAAAAATTACAGAGGTATAGATATTTTATTATTATTGACATATTCTTATAGGCATATAGATATTATTATTATTATTTATATGATATTGCTATTATTATTACAGAGGTATAGATATTTTATTATTATAGGCATATAGGTATTATTATTACAGATATATAGATATTATTGACAGACAGATATTATTATAGACTACAGATATTATTATAGGCATCTAGATATTATTATTACAGACATAGATATTATTATTAAAGACTGATAGATATTATTATTGTAGATATTGTAGCCCAGGCTTGCAATAAGGTAAAAATGGATGGCCATCTGTCGGGAGTTCTTTGATTGTGCCTTCCTGGACAATGTTTCCTGTTTTTGTCCTTTCTTTGAGTACTGGACTTCGTTTCCCAGAATTCCTTCCCATAACTCAATATGGATGAGCTTTCTGGAAGTTGAAGTGTGTGTGTGTGTGTATATACACATACACACTTATACAGACACACAGAATCCCTCCCGTGCGAGTTCCCAGGCAGCCATGAGGGAAAGGGAAGGATCTGGAGGAGAGTGCTCTCTCTCTCTCTCCTTCCTTCCTTCCTTCCTTTCTCCCCTCCCTCTTCTGTCGGGCTTTTTTAAATGCCCAAGCAACAATGCAGTGGGAGAAAAGGAAGGAAGGCAGGCAGACAAGCAGACAGCACCTCCAGGAGGAAGAGCAGGCTGGCTCTAGGTGTGAGGAGGAGGAAGATGCTGCTTCTCTTTCTCTCTCGGCTGGCAAGAAGGAAGTGAAATGCTTTGGACCAGAAGTGTTTGGGAGGGGAGAGGCTGGGGCTTGCAAAAAGGATCTATGGGCCACCTTTCCCTCCCTCTCTAAAGTAGTTCTCTCTCTCAGCTGTTGTCCCCCCCCCTCGCTTGTGCAGGGGGGGCGGGCGAGGAGGGTGTCATTTTAATGCATGCTCTGTGTAGTCATTTAGCTTTGTAGCACATTGAGTTCTTTCTGGTTGTTATTATTATTATTATTATTATTTGTGTGTGTGAAGGATATAGATTGCTTTGGTAGGTGTCTTGTGTTCAAATTTGGTGTCAATTCATCCAGTGGTTATTGAGTTCTGTTAATCCCACAAACAAACATTACATTTTTATTTATATAGATGGTCAAAATAAAAATACTGTGCTTACAGAAATTTCTTACACTGATTGATGTAATAGTTTGGATCCTCTCACTGTCAATCCCGGCAGCCAGTTTTGAAGTGGATCATGAACTTTTTTTTTGTCGTGTCAGGAGCGACTTGAGAAACTGCAAGTCGCTTCTGGTGTGAGAGAATTGGCCATCTGCAAGGACGTTGCCCAGGGGACACCCGGATGACTTGATGTTTTATCATCCTTGTGGGAGGCTTCTCTCATGTCCCCGCATGAGGAGCTGGAGCTGATAGAGGGAGCTCATCCGCCTCTCCCCGGATTCGAACCTGCAACCTGTCGGTCTTCAGTCCTGCCGGCATGGGTTTAACCCACTGCGCCACCGGGGGCTCCTGATCATGAACTAATATCATTTTTATGGTGCAACTGTACCACATGCTTACTCTTGAGAATATCTGCACTATGTCCCATGCACTTAATTTCAAAGAAGTACATAAAGAACTGGATTCTTAACTCTAGAATTCCACAAAGAAAATTATGTATTTCCACACTTGTGTGATAGTAAATACAGAAGTATGAAGCAATTTGTCTCTTACCAATATACAAAAACAACAAGGGTTTAGTGTTACAAAAAATGATAAAAACAAAAATCTTTGGAAGTCTGATTATGCTACAATAATAAATAATGTTCTCAAAGAACTAGATTGTGTTTTGTGAATGTATATTATCACCAATAAATAATAAACATATATAAGCTATATGTTTATAGACATCTCTTCCATTCTAGTCTTAGCTGATGATCTCCAAGAATATTGTGCCTAAATTTAGACTGCATTCATATATTACTAGTAGGAGAAAAACGGGTAGATTGCAACAAAATAAAAGTGTACCAAAAATAAAATTAACTATTTGTGCAATGAAGTACTTAACACAGATCCCAAAAACTACCCACCTATTAAGTAGCCTTGCTTTTTGAGAGTTTTAAGCAGTTTTCGTTCTTCTTCACTAAGGTCTTCCTCTGTTTTTTCTGCATCTGCCTTCAGCCTTGCTTCCCTCCTGAATATTCGGTAAGGTGTAGGATTAATAATTGGAAATTTCAGCAAGTTCAATGTAGTTCCTAGAAAAGAATACCCCACATTTGGTTATGACTACATGGACCCAACTGAAAACTAAGATTCTAAAGTAGTTACATAAACAACACAGTCTGTAGAAGTATTATGTGCAGATTGGCATTCTTGTTAACATCTTAAGAAAGTTTAAGCACCCCAGCCATGGACAGAAAATTAAACATAGAGGTGGCACACAGGGAATATGAGAAAAAGGATGAAAAAAATTGTTTCAGTATTTATTCTGCTTTATTTCTGTGTTCTTCAGAACTGGTACAATGTAATAGCTAAAGAACATATCATACAACAAGTGATTCCTAGTTCAAAACTTGTTTTAATTATAACCATATGAGTCTCAGACAGGACATTGCATTTTCAACATTTTCTGCCATGTGTAATGTCAGTATAATACTGAATTATGTTACAATGGCCAGGTATGACAAACTGTACATCTTCTTCCTTTGAACCCTATATACATGATGTGAAAATTTAAACTTTTCTGCTATGGTTTATAAAGAACAACAGAATCACTGGGTTGCTGTGAGTTTTTTGGGCTGTATGGCCATGTTCCAGTAGCATTCTTTCCTGATGTTTCACAAACATCTATGGCAGGCATCCTCAGCAGTTTGTGAGGTCTATGGGCCATTAGGCAAGTGGGGTTTATATATCTGTGGAGTGTTTAGGGTGGGAGAAAGAACTCCTGTCTATTTGAGGCAAGTGTGAATGTTGCAATTAGCCATCTTGATTAGCACTGAATAATCTTGCAGCTTCAAAGCCTGCCTGTTGCTACCTGAGGGGATTCTTTGTTTGGGAGGTGTTTACTGGCATTTGGTTGTTTGCTGTCCAGAATTCCCCTATTTCTGAGTAGTGTTTTTTATTTGCTGCCTTGATTCTGGTGTTTTTTTAATACTGGTAGCCAGATTTTGTTCATTTTCATGGCAGTGCCCAAACACAAATCAAAGAAAACAAAAGGCCTAATTCAACCAGAAAGGTCAGCTATAGCAAAGCACTTGATGAACCAACCTAGACACGGAATATTATTTGAGAATACATAAATGCTGGACCACTCTGACAACAATCATGTCAAACTGCACAGAGAGACCATTGAAATCCATCAGAATGTGGACAATTTCAACGGAAAGGAGGAAACCATAAAAATGAACAAAATCTGGTCACCAGTATTAAAAAGCACCAGAATCAAGAGAGTAAATAAACAACAAACAGAAAAAGAGGAATTCCAGGCAGCAAATAATTAAGTGCCAGTTTATACCTCAAAAAAAAAAAAATGTCCCCAGGCAGCAGCAACAATTGCTAGAGGCCTGGCCCTGTTGGTTAGCCCTTTTGCCTCAGAACTTGTCTGAAAGGCTTTCCCCTCCTTTTTAGTCTGTGTCAGAGTTTTAGAGGAGAAAGCCAGAAATTGTCTGGGTTCCTTGGCCTGGCAATCTAAACAGGCATTCTATAGCACATATATATACAAAATAGTCACTATAGCTTGTACTATACCATCACCATAGCTTAGTATATACCTCACAGACCGTCAAAGCTGTGTATACCTCATAGACCTTCATAGCTGAATTTACCAATAGTTTAGTCCTGTATTTTATTTTCAATAGCCAAGTATTTTACCAAGTGACTTACCACAATTATAGTCAAGTGTTTTACCTCATATTTTATGAATATAGTCAAGTGTTTTTTATCAGTGTAACTAAGTTCCATCAACAAACTTCACTTTGTAATATTTTATCTTGATTCGCCTTTCAAGAACTCTGACTTTCAAAAACTTTGCCTTTTGTTTCCAGTAAACTTATTTGGTTAACTTTGATTCTGTCTCAAGCATCATTATTTTTAAAGAACTGAAGTACATCAGAGAGTATACCAATAGCCACTGGGTATAGCCAGACATATAGTTTTCCTTTCAACCCAGTGTGCCTTCACAACAATAATATACTAC